AGAGAGAGCGGTGGAGGGAATCGCCTGGACGGGAATGCGAGAAGTTGCGTGGAGGGAATTGACTGAACAAGAATAAGTGTATGACGTGGACGGAATCTCGTAGAAGAGAATCCGTGCAGGGAAGCTCGATTGCTGTCCGTGGAGGGATTTTGCTGAACGGACTAGTTGAATACATGTGGAGGGGAATGTGTGGAGACGAAACATTGTGAATGTTGTGCACAATTCTGCGTGGACAGTACCATGAGATATATAAAAAACAAAATTCCCTGAACGACATTCGTTGAAGAAGACTCCGTCTAAGTACTTTACGATGGCAATTCGCCATCACTTCGCCATCATTTCGCCATTCGCCATCATCCCTATTCCTCCGGCGTTTTGTCATCGCGGCTCAAAAACTCGCCAGATGATCCTTTGACTCCGATGAAGCGATGAAGCCACGGAAAGACCCAGACGTATTTTCAGATTTTTGGGATCAACTTTTTTGGGGGGGATTGCGAAGGCTCCTGCGTTCGCCTCGACCCGCCTCGCACAAATGCAGACACTGTTTCAGACTGAGTTGTATTCGTAGCCCCAACCCGCTGGACGACTCGATAAATAGGTAAAATTAAACAAGGCGCGTTCACGCAGTGTCGTCCGGCGACGGTAATAGAATAAACTAAGTATAATGAAAAGCGCGGTTGGGTTGTCCTCGTTCACTCATGGAAGGTTGTTTCACTCCCTGTGGTTCCAGTTCGTCCCAACTCCGCCTTCTCCTTATTCGTCAGCATCCAGTTTGGCCTGCCTGGCAGTTCGTGTGGGGTTCTTGCGCCTTTCTCCGCATCACCCGTCCTGAGGGTATCATTAACTGAAGTACGTTGCGAAGTATGGCATGTTCACGATACTTACATGGAATGGGTTCTGCGACGTATGTGGACGCCGTTTATTGTGTTTGCGATCCAAAGGAGTATAGTTGCAACCAGAATCATTGAGGCGGCTCTGTCCCATCTCACTTTCAGGGTCACAATCAGGTCACCGATACCGCTAAATATGCCTGGTGGCGTAAATGTGATTTTCTCGCCGGCCCCAGGAATTAGGCTGCCCATGACGCCGTCGACAACGGAGAGAACAGTGGTCAAGACGGCAGCAAATACACCTATGCGAAGAACGAGCGCATCTGTATTCAGCTTGAACGAGTCTGTATCCAGGTTGAACGAGAACTTGAAGCAACCGGGGTCCCTCTTGAAGGAAGGTATCGGAATCGGTATCTGTCGATAGAAGATGCCAATGAGCAAAGTCAAGATTGAGATGGAAGTCAGGACGGCGGCTGGCATAGCATCAGCGAAAGTTAGCGTAAGATGGTGGGCACACTCACCGATAATGGTCAGGGCGAAGGCCGCAGTGAGGCCAATTGAAACGGGGTTATCGTTTAGGTGCCTGATCCGTGAATGTGTAAAGAACAGATGTATGCTGAGAAATGTTCTTCAACTTACAGAATATCCGCGATCTTGCTGTCGAGGGTGTAGCCTTGATGGCAACTTGCGCCAAATTTGAGAGTAAACCCTAAATCTCTGGAGAAAAGATGGCCTATATCGCTAAGACCTTTGTCAACGTCTTGGCCGGCCGATGTAATAGCTTTCGCGGCAGCCCCCTGAATAGAGCTGATAACCTGGGTGGCATTTGGCAACGCATTGACCCTATTCCCTATTTAAGGCGACGAACGGGGATTGAAGACAGATGGGTGCGTACGCAGCGGTCAAGTCCAGCCCATCGAAGCAAAAGCCCCACATGCCGAAATCTAGGCCAGTGGTGGCGCTTCCGGAGGCGTCGCCATCCAGGATCCTGAGTTGGATACCAGCATTGAGGCTAAAGACGGAAATGGTCTTACTGGCTGCGACCAGGAGGAGAAGGAGGAAGGCGATGAACATGAACAGTGAGGAGAACAGTAGGCGCAAGAACACCGGACTCATCAAGAGTTCGACGCAGCGATTAATGCGGTCGCGTACAATGGGTTTCGTGTGGGTGGGTGGGGAGTCACTCACGCCGACGACATTGAGGTCCGTGTCGCTACATTGACCGTCGGGAAGGTTGAGGCTGTCGCGCGCGGTAGATACCGTATCCGTGCGTTGGATGTCGACGAAAGTCAAGTCCGTGTCGGCGCGTTTGAGTGCATCCGGTGCCATGTCCGAGTCGGTGGGTGTGAAGCGGTCGTGGGGTTGAACTAGTTGGCTTTTGACCCGGCATTTTATACATCCATTTGCCACAGAAATGCCAACAATGCGGTGGAGCGGCAGTGACAGGGAATGCGGGGATTGAATTCGGGGCGAGGAGCGGAAACTATAGCATTGCGCGCCGCTGTACAAGAACCGGGCTGTAAGACGCGACCGGGGTTCGCGGGTGCGCGTCTGTGCACGTCCAGTGTTGTTGACTGAGGCGCTAAGCGTGGCTGGGTGAGGCTAGGTGAAGCCAAAGAGAGCGTCGGTGTATAATGATACGGTTGTAAGACGCGGAGTCGGGGTTTGCGGGTGCACGACATGCAGTGCTGCAGACTGTGGCAAAACGGCGCTGCGGCTAATTGACGCTATTCTTGGGGAAGCTGGGTTGCAAGGCGGGTACTACAATCCACTGCAGTGGTTCACCTCTTTCAAGATCGTTTTGTAGGCTGTTGCGGCGGCGCTCGACCAAATCAGCGACAGACACACGCGCAGGTGTGTACGCAATGCGCCCGAATGTGGCAGCGCCAGATGTGTAGATGGGCTGGGGGAAGCTTTCTCGTCAGTCCTGCATTCCAGTTAACGTGTGCGTCACCTCAGGCTTGTTACATTTCGCATGAAATGCTCACCGATGATTCTTCGCAGTGACAACTGCGGGCCACGGCTGTCGCACAGAAGAGGTCACCCAGACCCTGTATGCCTGAATCCATCGACCGCTGGGATGGGCTCTCGGTTTCGCGCACGACGCTGGCGACGAGCCGAAGTCCCTACTCGTGGCTGGGATCAAGGCTATCCTGATTCCTGAACGAATCAGCCCACGGCGGTGAGGACGGGTACCCGTCTTTTAGCTTTGAATGTTGCTGCCATCCGCGTGTACATCATCTGCACCGACAAGGACATGCGCTTGGTTGGCCAACAGAAGCAAGGTGAACCACAGCGAGTGGAAACCAAGTGTTTGGATGCACGCGCGGCAGTTGGGCTTGGGTTGGGCAAAGGTAGGGCGAACGATACTGTCATACCACAGATAGTATGGATCAGCTTTGGAGCCTCCAGTATCGTCTTTGAGTCAAGTTTGAGAGTTCCAGCGTCGGCACTGTTTCGTCCATTCACGAGGTCAGAACTGGGACTTGAGGTCAAAGCTGACGCGGGCATGTACGTGTACAGGCGGACGTGCTTCCCCGTTGTCCGGGAAAAGCGAGGCTGGCCCCTGGCCGAGGCAGAAGCGAGAAATGTCTGAAATGACTTGGAAATGACCGGCAAAAACGCAAAGAGAGACTCGAACCCGGTTTATCCCGCGTGAAAGTCAATGCCGGGCACTGTGACGTCACGTTTCCCCGCATTCTCCCGGGCGGAAGTTGGGCGGAAGTCCGTTCTCTGCTCTTCTCTTACGGCCGCCTCTCATCCCCGTTCAAGATCGCTCTATCTCCACCAGTCTTCAAAAATACGACCCTCCTTGCCAACTCCTTACCCACAACTCTTGCGCTCCACTGGAGCCCGTTCTCTCGTTGGAGTCGTATCGATACGCCGTGTCTAGCCTTGTCGACACGGTGCGCCCACGGTGAAAGCGGTTAGGCCAACTCCGCGCGTACGATGAAGAGTATTCCCTCCCTCCACGGCCTGGCCCGCGACATTGCCTCGGAGCAGCCTCGAGATTTAAATCAACAGTCGAGATAAGACGACCCGTGGCCGCACCGTTGTTAACCCGGGGTCTCTTTCACGCTGCCCTTTATCCATTCAACATTGCGGGTCAGGTCGAGCTCGAGCCGATGTTGAACGGGGTCCCGGAACCCGCACCGCTCTTCCGTTATTCCCTGCTAAGTCTCCTCACCTCACAGTAAACTGGCCAGATAACGACCGCCCGCGTCCGCCTCGCTTCTCACTCGGGTATACTTAGTTCCCCGCCGAAGTCGCCATTCGTCTGAGCTGTCTGCGAACTCTTGGAGTCAAGTTGAACCGACTCCGACGGGACGCCTCTCCTTCTTCCATGCCGACTCTTCTGGGACCTAAACCAACTACGGCGTCAGGCTCTAAGTACACGCACGCGACGGCTGACTTACAGACATATACCCAGCCCCGTCTCCCAAACATCTCAAAGATTACGCACGGGAGGATACCATCGATTGCGAACACAGAGCTGATGTTAAACCTCCTCTCATGCCCTCGTCTAGTTCCGAATCAAGAGGGTGTTTCATTATAGGATTTGGGGCCCAACTTGGGCTCCAACTTGAGCTCCAACTCGGGTCCCAACTTGAGAAAAGTTGGACCATAAGTTGGACGGTCTATCGTGAACGCCCTTTTCAGTGTCGAGTGCATCAACTTGGCCGCCAAGCGGGTGATCCGGGGCCGACAAGCCAAATTGCGAGATAGCCGAAGTTGGAGACCGAAGTTGGGGACGAAGTTGGACAGAAGTTGGATGTCAAGTCGTGGTCCTATGCACGACTTGACATCCAACTTCGATTTTTGGCTCCAACTTCGGTCTCCAACTTCGTCTCCAACTTCGCAAAGTTGGAGCTCAAGTTGGAGCCCAAGTTGGGCCCCAAATCCTATAATGAAACACCCTAATGAAACACCCTAAGGTCTGGCCATTTTTATCGGTGGGGCTTTTTTTTTGCTTTTTGCTCACTCGACTCCACCTTTGAACTCCTGGCCTGCACGGTTTGCTTTTGCGTCTGTCCGATACACTCACTCTCCTTGTGAAACACTTTGACAGCCAATTGATAGTCTAAAGCTAGTAACTCAAGTTCGATATCTCACAATTCATCCAACTCCTGCAATTCCAACCTATATTGCATCGCACTGAGAATCAGTCATGGGCTAGTGGTGTAGTGGTCACACACCCTCTCATGATACCGAGATAAATATGCCATCTTGAGGGAGCCCCTTGTTTGATTCAAGGCTAGTCCATGCCTCTTTCTCTCCCATTTTTTCTTTGTGCTTGGAACCAACTTGAAACTGTCTTCCAACTGAGTGAACCCTTCTATGTAGTATAGTACTGTCACTGTATGAGTGATATCATGGCCTGATGTTACACGCCCTCTGATGTTACACCCAAAGGGCACCATGTTTCCGAGGGAGTTCCTTGTTCGATCCAAGGTTGGGCCATGTCGGGATGATACCCTTCTTTTTTATTTGGTTTTGGTTGCTTGCGCCTCGGTATCTACCACGGTTCCCATGAACGCAATTCAGCGATTCAACTCTTTTTACTGTATGACAAAGGCAATACTGTATATTGAGGCGAAGACGTTCGACCATTCGAAGTTGAGGTTCTGGCCCCTTCAGGATGTGAGACCGTGATTTTGAGGCACTCGTTCAGTGAATTCCTGTGGAAGTACACATTATCAGCCTGATGTCGAAGTGTCGACAGTCTGTGGCCCGTCATTTCAACTTGTCCTCTAAAAGAAAGTGAACGTAAACGGAGTTAACTCGTCTCCGGCGTTGATACAGGAACGATGCCTCAGAAAATGTACATATTTGGGGCAGAGATGTACCCGGAGAACGTCGGGGGAGTAATCAGAAGTTGGGTTTGGAATTGAACCAAAGTCACGTGTTTCATGTTCAATCCACATACCCGGTGATACCGCAGGTACAGGTTCGGTAGGCTCGGTATGCAGCAATCGCCACGCTGTGTGATAGTGCAGCTAACACTAGCAATTGTGTTACGTTTGGCAAATTTCCAAGATTTCTGGAGAAAAGAATGGCCAGGGTACCAACTTGTAGTAGCCGGGCTCAGGCTCGAAGGGTGACGGCGCACTGGTTCCACGCAAGGCTCCTCAGGAGGTTGAGGCTTACACTGTAGCCTTCAAAGAGCCTTGCTACAGCATCGTGTCTCCGTCGACGAATCATCAGCATCAGCAAATCCTGATTTTTTCGCACTATGGCTATCTATGGAGCGCTACAAAGCGTTACAGAGCGGCCCATAGTGTCCCATAGTGCCTGTAGTGCCATAGTAAGGGGTTTTCGCTCTGTAGTGCTCTGTAGTGCTCCAGGGTGCTCCAGAGTGCTACCCGAGAAATCGGGGTTTGCTGATGAGCAGTCCTCTGTGTGGCTGGCCAAATAAGCCGGGCGACGCAGCGGTCATTGAGGCGGCTCGAACACTGATGCGCGCCAAGTCGGGGTGGGTGGTGAGACACGTTGTTGCGCGGCACTCCACCATTGTCCCAGACCAAAAGGACGATGTCGTAACGAGTTCCATCACGGAAAATTTATAGTAGTTTACAAGTAGTTTATTCCTGTCCTTATTTGTTAGTGGAGTCATTCTTAGAGTCGTTCGACCACTCCGCTTGCAACTAACCTGTACATGTACGTTGCTTCCCAGGCGACTTGACTTCCACATTCCATTCTCACCGAGTACTGGTGAGTTGAAACTTGAGGGTACGAAATTGTTCACACTAGTCTCCGGGGAGGATCTACGCTCATCTGGGCGTAAGCCTTCCAGGTAGTAGTAGCTACCGGGAATATATTGGAGTTCATGCTTGCCTGAACACCCACTCCATCTACTGCCGTAGGCCCAACGACCGTGAAGTTGAACCAAAGTCACCTGTTTTATGTTCAACCTCTCTAACGCTGCTTTGACAACCGCGCACTCGCGGAGCACGGCTCACGGCTTGTTGCGGGATCCCCCCAATTGGAGAAAGGGCTCGATGACCTCACTGCGTTGAATTCGGAGCTCAGCGACATATACGATCCCGTCATCGGCAATCTGCTGCGAATGTCGCACCAGGCTTATATGTTGGGCATCCATCTTGAGGGCCGGATGGGAACAGATTTCAGCAGTGTATTATTGCTGTCGTTTTCACCCACCGCGACGCTCACCAGTCATTTGCAAAGCCTCCCGGACTGAATAAGTATCCATATCAATACTGCGTAAGCCACTCTCTCCTGTGCAGAAATAATGAAATGACCGCATGCTTCCAGGGATATCATGTCGTACATACTACAAGGAGGCCATCGTTCAATCGCGTGGAGCAGGTCGCACAACTGCATGGCTTGACGGGCTCGGAGATGCTGGGAGAGCTCGTCAAGTCTATGACTTCAAGCCACGAGCGAGTCGTGAGTTTGCTATCGACATCGGACCCTAGTGGTTTATTGGTATCGTGCTATCAGAAGCCGATCGTGGGGTTTGTTACTTTCCAGGTGCTCCATCCCCAATATAAACTTAGAGACTTTGGGATATCTTCCTTTTGAAGTTGTTGCTACTAGTTTCGAGGATCAGAAGCTCAAATGACGGGAAGGCTTTGCGGGATGAACAAATTACCACTTGTCATAAAATCGAACCAAACTCACGTGATCGGTGTTCAACTTCAAAATTTTAAACTCAACGGGTTCGAGTCAGGGTTTGCGCCGTCCGGACGGGACAAGTCTGTATACTCTTAAGACAGATACTGTTCAACATTTGCGGTAACCCTAGAGTCGACGTTCCCCAATATCTCCAGCAGCTCATACCTGAAACCAAATGAATCAGTTCAACCTGAAGATACAACACAGCTGAACCGCAACGAACCAAGCCTGCTCCTGCATTGTCGCGCCCTCCACACTCAGCACGAAGTCACTGACCTCCGTGATCTTGTACCTCGACATATACGCGCCCCGCAGCTTCCCGGGCTCCTCGGGGTGTGCGAGCGCCCCGCACACGAGCTGCCGGCTGCCCACCTCCGAGCTGAACGCGAGAAGCCTGTCCCCGAGGTGGAAGAATAGAGCAGTGGGCCCGGAGAGCTCGCGCCGGAGTTCGGAGTAGCAGTACCCGGGGCAGACGGCGTCGATGACGAGCGGGGTCGAGGGAGGGAGGTGGGCGTTGAGGGCGCGGACGAAGAGGACGTTGAGGACTATAGGAGTGTTTAATTGATGTGGTATGTGAAAAGAAAGAAAACGTCGCTAGGAACGGGTACTTGCGTTTTGTCATCGAATATCGGTCCGTGGGCCTGGAGAGTGTTTGAATATGCTGTGATCAGACCAAATCCGAGCGCGAGGTACACACTGTTTGAATTGGTATTCGGGGCTCCCAAGCGTCCTGACCATTTCCTCGCTCTCGCAAAGGCTCTTTTCCATCTCCACAAGATAGTGCATCCCGCTGGACACGACTACAATCCTGGGGGTCGTAGAATGCTGTTGAGCGGTTTTCACCATCACAGGGAGCAGGAGGAGAGCCAGAAGGGAGGTCGCGAGATGGTTGACTTGAAGGCTACCGTTTTATTAGTGCAGGCCGCGTGTTTGTGTGGAATGACGGACGAGATATCCCACCCGTCCTCTGTGGCCTCGTATTTCCAAGACGAGATTGCCGCGTTTTCGACGAGGATGTCAAGACGCCCGCCGTCGCGCTCGAATTTGTTGGCGAATTGCTTCACAGATTCAAAGCTGGCGAGGTCGATGATCCATAGCTCGGCCTTCGAGTAGCCCGTGTCGGCTTTCAACTCTGTCGGCGCAGTAAGTACACGATAAAAGATGCACAAAAGACAGATGGCAACTCACTCTCCACCGCCGCCTGTCCCTTACTCTGACTCCGGCACGCGAGAATGAGGCGTCCGGGATTCATCGTAGCGAAATGCTTCGCCGCCTCGAAGCCAAGGCCGGTGTTCGCTCCTAGAACAAGCACGGTCTTGCCTGTGAGGTCCGCTCTGAGCACGGGTGGTTGCGTTCTCCATTGGTCCACGATGAAGTTCCACAGGCTGAAACGCATGGTGGTGGTGGTATGTCGGGGGTGTGGCGATGTTTGGGAACCCTACGTTGGTGCGGGCGCCCACGACGCATCATTGACCGGGGTGACACTGGTGGGCGACGATTGAATTGAGAGACAGAGCTTCATCAACATTAGTAATTACAGGGCCGTTTGCTTGACATCGAGGGCGTTTGAATGAGCTCAGGCAGTTTATTGTTAACAGGCCCAGTGAAACCTTTAGTTTGATGCAGGAGCATTTCCGTGTGTTGCAGGCCCCGGGGCTAAGGTAATACTAGGAAATCATCATGGGTGGTTATTGGTCAGATAGCGCAGAAAGCTTTCAAAGCGCTTTCTGGGTAGAGCTTGATGAAAATGATTGAAGCCAATCGAATATCCGACAATGGACCTTGTCCACGACGCAAGTCCACCAAGATCTGACTCGGAATCCGCAGAACTACTCGTCGTCGTCGTCACCAACGACCCTTGACGGACTGCTGCCTCAACGAATGGTGCCGCAGTCGAGAAATGACTCGGTCGAGGTCACTGAGGTCGTGGCGACACGTAGTTCCACTACGTTTTCGGTAGATGCTTCAAAAGACACGTCGAGAGTGTCAAAACTGCGGCGCAGAGCATATAAGGGTGGGTTGGTCGATGTGGTCAAGAAGAAAGCGCCAATTCGGCCACGATGCCGACGACGATCAGCGAAGGTTGGGTGGTCGTGTTTGTTGCTCAGCACCTGCTCTCGCCTAAAACCTCCTCTGTGCATAGACGCGTCGCGTTCACTATGAAAACCGCGCCGTCGCTGCCACCAGAGCTGTGGATGTATATCCACCGGCTGGCATTATTGGATCTCTCGCCCCTTGCGAGACTGTACGCGAACGACGGTGTTGTCAGACACAGCACTACACCAGACGATCCAGTGAATGACCGTCAATTGCAGCGGTTTCTGAAGGTGAGCAAACACTGTGAAGTCAAGCGGGAGCCGTGACTTTTTGTCCAGGTTGCATGTTCCTTAAGGCGCGTCTGCCGACTATGGAGCCACCTGGCTCAAGAGCTGTTATTCGAAAATGTTTGGATTAACAAGCGATGGTCTTCGCTTTCCAGCAGTTTGCAGCAGCCGGATATTGCGCGGCTGGTGCGCGTCGTCCGCTTGTCTACGACGCGCTTCGACCATAATGCCGTGGTCCTGCAGCAATGCGCAGCGCATATCGAGGTCCTCGTCCAGCCCGAATTTCCGCGCGCAGAACGCCTG